GACTGGATCGGTTATATTCTAGTATATATACTACCTTGACCGCTGTCAGTGCGGTCACAGCTGTCTGCTTTCTTCAGACTGCCAGTAACATTTTAGTCACCTACGGTGATTAGACTGCGTTTCAGATTGACTGTTTTTTAAATTTAAGTTTTTGTCACTAGCTGAAGATTTGCACTTTTGAAAATATTGTCTCATTTGATTATTTTACGGATTGCGCATGTTTTTCTGTGAATTCTGGTTCACTGTTCCCCATTTTTAATTTTATGTCCATTTTATAAAATTCCTTTCCGTGTTAGAAGTCATTGGTCATTGCTCATCTATCATTGATGATCGTGCTGTCATATCGGTTTGGCTGCGTTCATTACTGTCGAAACAGTGACTTGGCACACATTTCGATCATTACTGTTTGAAGCCGCTTGAAACTGCAATCGGACTTCCGTTGCGTGTAATGTACAAACATAATTTAATTACTGATACCCTAGTCGCCGGTGGGGGGGGGACCATTTAGGCAACTACATCGGCATGGTATTTAAGGATTGTGGTGCATCTTGTACAAGGCAATATTTCTGAATTTGATAAGGTAATGTTAGAGCAGCAACAAGATTTGCCATTATCCGTGGGCGAATATATGGTCAAAATAACATGCATCATAGCTCGGATATTTCTGTGTAGCTGTCTCGAGTGGCATCTTCACAGTTCCGCTGATACACGTGAAAGATTACATGGCTGGTAGCAGCGCCTGAACATGGATGTAATGTTTCATCTTATTTTGTCAGTATCTGACTATTAGACATGAATCCCCATTTCTTAGATGGCCAGACAGCCATTCAAACGCAAGTGCTCTGTGATACGCAGTATGCTGGCATTATTGTTTATTAATTCTAATTATATAATCTGATTATCTTATTATTCTGATTATATTGTGGCATACTCACCCCGCCCCCAAATTTAAACCTAATTTGTACTGAAGATGTTAAAATACCATAGATTCATGCTATGCTTTAATCATTCCTAGTTGCCCAGGAGCAACAACATTGTGTAGTAAAATCCTATGCCTCGGAAGGATCATAATTATGGTTATTAATGTTTTATTCAACTAGCACTTCTTTTGCTACGATTATAGTGAACTGCGAATTCAAGGGCAAACAAGACTGCGTGGAACACGGGATCAAAGACGAAATGCTTAATGGCCAAAGTATGCACGATTCACAAGACGGGAGCAGCAATTGCATGCCAAGCAGTGATGAGGTAACCGGATTTTCCCTTTGACTTCTTTCGTTGTCCAAATCATAGCTGTGTAGAGTATTCATGAGACGGAAAACTTTTCCTCACTGACGATGTGCTACCGCCGGATTATAACTCAGCTAGGAGAAAACCCGCAAAGGCCGGGACTGCTGAAGACCCCAGAACGGGCTGCAAAGGCGATGCTGTTTTTTACAAAGGGATACCACGAGAATCTTTCAAGTACACGCTATTTTTGTTTTGTTATGCTTTATTTTTCTTTGTTGAACGGTTACGAGATTACCTCTAGGTGTATGGCGGATCAAGAGTCTGTCGCTTCAAAGTTTGCTAAGTGATCGTTTTATGGTGCAAGATCTCGTTTAAAATTTCTGTTGTATCTTTTAAACAATTTATCCCGTCATATTGTAGCTAACATATGTCTGTGAAACTGTAATGGCTACGAGGAAGACACCATTGAAATAGAGAACGGGAGTTGTAGCACCCCTGTTCAAGAAGGGATACCGCGGGGAGTGCTGCAATTATTGGAGCATTATCTTATTAAACCTCCCGCGTAAAGTCAATGCATCGGTGTTATAAAGGAAGTGCCGCGGAATTACTGACCCTAGGATATAAAAAGAGCAGCGTGGCTTCTGGTCAGTTCGAAGCATCTTGACTAGAACTTCGTTTTACGCCAGGTTGTTGAGAAATCGTAATTTGTTGAATTGGAGGGAACGTATGACCCGTTGAGCCAACATTCTTTGGGCGTGCCTGTAATCGTATAGGATCGATGGTCATTTGCTACAAGCCATCCCGTCACTATGTGTTAATAACAGGTGCTTTGTCAAAGTAATTGCCTTTAAGTCGAGAACTTTGAGCGTTCGCATTGGTGTCTTATAAGTCTGTGTTCTATCCTCTCTCTTGATTGTATCGTAAATAGATAGAATAGTTAGGCGCAGGCAGGGCGACAAGAGTATCAACGTAGAAGTTGTCGAGACGAGAAAGTTTCATTGGTGTATTTTAAAACTGATTTCTAGCTCTCCCTTGAAGGCTTCGTAGCTGATTGCTATTTATGTGACATGCGTACGAATGTGTCTAAAACCGAAAGCTTTTCGTTCTTCTGCCCCTTGTACTTTGCAAAAGTTTACTTTCTCGCCCTCCTACCCGTTGCGCTTTGCAGATAAACGGTTTCTTGTCGTTGTGTTTTCTGGTGATGGAAAATTAGAGAAATAGATCTACTGGCGATTTAAATAGACGAGAGTCGAACTAGTCCAAACCGTTGTGACTCAGGCAGAGCTGAATCTGAAGACGAACCTCTCTGTGTTCAAGTCGATCTTCATTCCGACGCATACCTACAGTCAATTGAAAACCTTTAATGTCAGGTACAAGTGTATAAGGGTGTTCTGACACGAATCGCTGGGCTGACGAGACTCGGCATGGTCGAACGTACGTGTATTTGAGATAGCCTTGGTATACAACTACTGCTTTTACAAATTGGGAAGTCACAACTGCGATGGTTCTGGCACGTCTTGTGAACATTTCCATAATGGAACGATGAAACAGCTATTACTCTCTCAGCGGATGGGCTAAAGACCCCAGAGCAGAAGAAAAATGACATTGGGCAGGTGTTACGAAAAATTCTGCTGCAGACTCAGGTTATCTTCCGCTGAAGCTCATGCATTGGCATAGGATTAGGAACGATCTACTCAGTGTCTTGCGCATCTACCCACCGCGACCCGAAAGGATAAACCGTGATCGAAACTGACTGAATAATAATCGGTTAATAGAGAAATCTTAGTGTGTATACAAAAGAAGTATGGAATAATAATAAAGACAGATTAGTAACTGGGGCGGAAGAAACGACAAAGTAAACCGTGGATAAGTTTTAACACTAAAGAGTTGTAGGAAAAGAATAGTTTGGCCATGGTCGACAACAAACAAAAAGTCAGCAAGGAAGTATAGACTGAACGTAAAAAATCATTAAGGAAAGATACGATATTTTTCTGAAAAAGACAGACTGAATCACTTTAAAATTCGGCTCAGAATGGTATGAAACCCTGTTCAGGAGATTTCAGAGCTACTTCGGTAAAATGAAACCTCGGCTGACAGCGGTTAGGAAAAAGGGCGGTAACAACTTTTGATCCTTCAGAAGCCATTAAATGCCTGAATGAAAAATGTATGCTGAATCTAGACCGCAGACCCTTGAAAAAGTGAATGAAACCTCAAGTGAACTGAAAAATTGCACAGCTGCAGTAATTGATGGAACACAGATTAGTGCTAATTAAATAGTTTGAAATAGATGGAGTGCTGGCATTAGTGAATCTCTGAATTTGTATTGCGGAAAGAAGAGAGGAGTTCCTGAATGATTTGACGAAAGAATATCTTTATCGCAAACGGCTGCTAAGAAGACCTCCAACAAGATGGGAAGATCTCATTAGAGCTGATATGACATCGAAAGGACTCAAGAGTGAGCATGCGTTTATTAGATCTTTGTAGAATGCTTGCACCGTATGCATCAGTGATGCAATAGTATAAGATGAGGAAGAATGCATGTGTTATATAATATGAAGTAATTTGTTTAATTCGATTTCTTGCAGCCATAATTAACGGAGCGATATTTGACGAGAGCCACGACGAAATAGTGATTGTAAAAGATATTGAAATGTACTCATTGTGTGAGCATCACCTCATTCCGTTTATTGGAAAAGTTTCGATTGGCTATGTTCCGTGTGGCAGGGTAATCGGACTGAGCAAGTTGGCCCGTATCGTGGAGATGTTCAGTCGGAGGTTACAAGGTAATAGTTTTTAACTGGTAACTCATGTGTTATTTGCACTGTCGTTCTTCAGTGCAAGAACGATTAACTACCCAAATCGCGAACGCAATAATGACGGCTGTCAGTCCGCGGGGCGTCGGTGTCGTCATCGAAGCGATGTATACGCGGTATTTCTAATTCAACATATAAACTTCTCATCGTTTAGGCATATGTGTATGATTATGAGGGGTGTGCAGAAGAGCTTGGCAAAAACTACCACCAGCAGCATGCTCGGGATTTTCAAGGAAAATCCCGGAATGAAGGAAGAGTTTCTTTCCTTAGTGAACAGTTGATAGCAGCGTCATTCAGGAGCTGATGCACACAAACTGAGGTGTCTTTCCACATAAGCACCACATCATTCTCGTTAGCTGGTCTATTCCATTGACATTGCTACCTTTCAATGGAAATTTGAGGTTTGTGTTAGTGTTTGGTTACACATACGAAATTATGCTTGTAATGCTGTGAACGTGTATAAAACTAAGACTCACTTTAAACTTTACGTTATTTGACGGCATTAACGGCCAGCAGCAGGTAGGTTGCGGAAATAGATGCATGAATCGGTCATGTAGGTGTGGTAATACAGGAGTTTAACCGATGTACGGTGATGAAGGAGTTGAGGGGTAGTACGAGGTGTGTCACTGCAGCTACTCTGGGAATAGTCATGATTGCTTAATATTACCGCAAGAGTATTATCCCGGATATAAGCGCCAGGAAGGAGGTTGCTTCGAAGGATTACTGGAGGGGGGGTGGTCGACATTGGTTAGAACACAGCATTTCAAAATACTTTTACTCGCTATATAGGCAAGCAATGAGGTGATTTTGTCGGGAACGCGACTTCGAACAACGGAATATCACGTGACCTATGTGATCCAGACAAACAACTGCGTGAACCAGTACAAATGTGTTAGTGTGACTGACATCTGGACATTTGCTAATGTACGTTAACTATTAATGTTTGAACAACCTACTTTGAAGCGACTAGCTAACTCACACTGTACGTTTAACTTTACAGTACCGACTTGGAAGTGAGTTCCATTGCTCTTATATTAATACTCGAAACGTTGGCTGTTATATTTAATAACATTCATGTAAGTAGAAGTACTGTTGAAGGCATAAATTTCGTCATTATTTATCGTTTATTATCGTCCATCTGAAGGCTTCTCCAGTATGTTGCCAAAAAATACGGTCTCGCAGATTTTAGTCACGTTACTTTCATGGAATTCTTCAGCTCATCTCGTTACTTTGCAGGCCTTTCGCAGTTCGTTTATCATTTTTAGAACCCACTCTAATATTTCTCTGGTCCACTCACGAGCCTTTCTTCTTGCAGAAAATCTTTTTCCTTGTCATTCTTCGTTCATGTTGTGACATCGCAGACTCCTGTTTGCGCTCATAATAAATGAACCTGTATAATCGCAGATTCACTTAAATTTTTGTTTAATAAAGTGTTTATCCATATCCCATAAATTACATGAAATGCCGTCTGTGGAGTTCAGCAGGGAAATTGGCTTTTACTTTTGCTATTCAACATTGTTTTGTTCTCGACTTTCTTCTCTGAAGCAGTGCTGACTCTGGCAGAGACGAAGATCTCATTCTAAAGGTATCTCTCAGTTCACGATATTCGGCTACATACCTTACTGACTTGGAGTATGCACGTAATATTGTCTTGGTGAGTAATATGAGAAGCGTGCTGTCACCTGACAAATTCCATATGCACGACATCTGCGAACGTTGACTTCTTCCTTAATGCTCGAACGTCAAAAGTTATGAGGAACCCGTTCAGCAAGTGGAAGAGGGAGGTTAAGCACTTGAACAGGTGGTTTTAACCAGTTTAAGTCTCTCGGCTGTGTGATCTCCAGCGATGGCATTCTCCAGCCAGTGTTAGATAGGAAAATCGCCCCAGCTTCGAGTCCTTTTGGAAACCTATTCAATATTTGGGCTGAGAAACGAGTCAGTCTGCCCATGAAATTCCGCGAATACGTTGCCTTTGTCATGCCAGCGTGACTGTGAAAACGCGGAGGAAGAAGAACGACGGCTGAAATTCAAACAGCAGCATTGACTTCAACGCATAATGAGGTTTAAATGGCAAGGCCACTTAAGAAATGACCACTTTAATTTGGCACAGGTGCCCTCAGTAGATATGTAGATTAAGAAAAGGAGGTTCGCCCTGTTACAGAAACTGCTGTTGTATGCACGACTTACTCCAGCTCGTGAGCTTTTTGTGTGAAATCTGAAACATGCAGACATCGACCAGGAGGCCAGCATGCAACAACGAGGAAGAAAGTGGAGCCACGTCTGTTTTTGGAAAGGAATATTTGCTTCTGCAATGCAGTAATCACTGCCTTAAGGAAGAAAAGTTTTGAAAAGCTGTGAATACAGCGGACATCACAAACAAATGACGTTTTGCTAGTACAAACCGCTCCGAATGATTATTTCAACAGACTGAAACATAAGCAAACATATTTCAGACAAAGAGCAAACGATAATTATGATTAGATGTTGTCGGTGTCGTATTACGGCACCTCTGTATATTCCATTATTTGCAGTCGAGAAGGGCTAGTAACATCAGCAGAAACTCTGGCCCTGTAACCAAAACCTTTGATACCTTTACCGTAATTTGAGTAAAGTCATATCTTACCAATGAAAGGATGTTTATGCGTGTCTTATGCAATGAGACTGCTGAAAATTGTTAGCGCTCTTCCTTTCCTCGTTACCCAAATAATTCATTAAGTAAAAATTTCAGTCTGATTCACTGACTCTGATGGCTTACGGTAATAGCACCTTTATGGTTTCTCTCATTCGTCAAGTAAATTTTGAACATTTCATTATTTTGCGTAAACGAAAAACGAATCATACTTCGGCATGAGTAGACAACAATATTTTTGAGTCAGGCGAATCAAATCTTTTGGAACGCATTCCTCATTTTATGGATGAACCGGCCAGCGTTATTTCTTGTCTTGCTTCACTTTAGGTGTGCCAACGGCTTTTTGTTTGGAGAACTCTAAAAACGTTTTCTGATCTAGTAAAAGGCATAATCGTAAAGCAAAATATGCTCATCTTAAACTAAGAGTTGAAGTACAGTCGTAAATTATGCGATGGTGCTAATTTAAATCGACTATCAGATGGATCAAAATACATAGTAACATTTAGTGTTACACCGAATGGGTATAGTCTTAGTGAGCTAGTGCATGACAAAGCAAGAACACTATGCTATTTTTAGTGTATGCAACTCAACCTGTCGTTCGTCTCTTAGCTAATTTAGATGAAGCACAATGAGAAATTCCTTATTCAAGGGAATTGGCAGTTAAAAAATTTCTGTCACCATTTGATTCCAACAGGCATCTCCGACAAGTAAATCTGAAGACTTCCCACGTCATACTGTACCCTTCACCGATGTATAAGAACATACTTATGTAAACTTAACCGTGATTTGAATAATATCTTCTGAGTTTCACTATAGGCTGAACTTTAACTGACTAGTTTAGACTCACATCTAAAAATAGTGTCAAAATGATAGGCTTAATTAATAATTTTTAAAAAGGAGATTTATGGAGTTTAGAAGTTCATGATATTATAGTCTTTTAGCTTCCTCTTATGTACGGGAAAAATTGCAGCTTAGGTCAGTATCATTAGTAGTAACCACGTAGTGCGATGTAGTTTCTGAAATCTGAAGGAGCAGGGTTTGGCTTAGGCAAAGGGCTGAATCACACGTTGTAAAGTATACTGTATCGCTTCTTTACCCATAGTCACTGTTACGGAACCAAGACAATCAGCTTTGGGTAGCATTCAAACATGACAGGAATATTTACTCCTTCGTACTTAAGGTACATTTTGACAGGAAAAGAATAACTTGATTACAAAACCATGACAGAAGACTTGAGCTCATCGTTCGTACTTATTTCTCAAAAGTATAATTAAGTTTTATGCCTTCTGTCGTTTAGACAGAATGCACAAAAAATATCAGAATATCATGCTTTGCAATCTTTTTGTTTCAATTATCGAAGGGGGACTAAGAAGAAAGAATCACATAACAAAACATGAGGTGTGAAATGCATTGTCTTTTGACGTTATAATGGCACGGAACTCACTATGGAGTCTGAAGAATTCAGTTAGCATGGCTGATTAGTAAGGATATGGCCAGTCACTTCGTCTGCTGAAGTGTCTGTAAGTTACAAATCTGTCTTCAATCTAATTTCAGGAAGAAGGTTCAAAAAAAATTCAGTAAATAGACCTAAAACAGATATGAATGATGGTGAATTCACATATGAGAAATTTAAAAAAATAAACATCTTGGACAGCTTGCGTGATAAAGAGTAGAGAAACGCGACCGTTGTTTAAAAAGTAGTATAGTACAAAAAAACGTACTTGGACCTGGAGTTTCCTCGATGCATGATAATTCTAGTCTGACAGGCAGGAAATGGCACATTCCACCAATCCAACGGTGACACGGAAAGCGGTAAGTCTTCTTCAGGCCGATGTCACTGACCTCAACGTAAGCCAAGTGCCAAGACGGCCAGATGCCTAAATGATGCAAACCGTCAAATCTATTAATATTAAGAAACGTGGCATTTTGAGATAAATAATAGCGCCAATAAATGTCAGTTGTGTCTGGAACGAAGACATCTCGACGACGATTGATAAACATAAATAGCTGACTGACAGTTAATCGTGAAGGTGACCACTGTTCTTAGCCAGAAAGTTTGTCGTAGAAACGTTAAATATATTTTTTGGTCTACATGCATCTTTTCGATTCATGGTTGAATATGAATGGAAAATATATAGCGTTAAATGCTCTGAATGGATTGGTTTCCCGTATAGAATTTATTTAATATTTTTGATCAGAAAATGGTGGAAACCATATATGAATTGAATGGTCTAAATAATCCAAATTAATGCTTTCAGGTTGAATTGCATTATAAATTGTCATGAACATGTATTCTGTTTCAACCACAACTTTGAGTTGGCACGCGAAGGTCATTGGTTCATACCCCACTGTGTAGTGCTCTGTTGCTTCCAGGCACTGCGGTGCTCACATGCCACGAATCCTTCGCTTTCTTAAATGGTTCCTATAGTTATCTAGAAGCACGAGTCGGTGCAGCATAACCAGGTGTAAAGACTTTTATCTATCTTGCACTTCCGCAGAATCGGTGTAAAGTGAAAAATAAAATTTTCTTTCTTTACACGACACGTTTTCGTCGTGTAAATCCGGTATCAGTATTTGAAATGTATCATTCCTTCATGGACATTTCGCTTGAAACAGCTAAAATAGGTGTTCATGGCTTTTCATCAAGGTTGC